TCAGAAAGGCAGGTTGTTTTGGCTTTTGATGTTAACTATTGACTTGAATTATTCACACAGAGCCTTTTGGGAACTTTGTTTAGAGGTTATAAATATTTAGGCACTTTCCTTTCCTTCTGAAGGACATTAATATCAGAAGAGCAGGCTTACGTCTTTGTTTTCTCTGTGGCCTGTGTCAGTGTTCCGTAGTTAGAGATGCAGCGCTGTGAGTGCAGGGCTGGCTTCTCTGGCTCTCTGATGATCCATCTCTAAAAGATCTCGAGAAAAGCAGACGGTTCATCTACAAGTGCTCTTCACAAGGTCACCTTCCAAGGAAGGAAAATGAATAACACTTGTGGAAGGCACATGACACTGGTTCCAAAATGCAAATTTAGTCAAGTGTTTTGTGGTATGTTATGAGGGTTGATTTTTTTTTCCAGCCCATTGTCATGAGTAACACTTAGTGATTACATACTATAGGTTGTGCATGTAGGTAAGGTCAAAGCAGTTCTAGATTAGTTTTGTAGTTGTTGAAGGGAACTATACCTTTTCCCCAGAGGTGGTGGGCAGATAGTGCTGTTTACCTCAACTCTGTGGTGTTAATACATTTAGCTTTAAGTCAGGGGTATATATGTTGTGTGTAGCCGTTCATTTAAGGGTAAATGTTTTTACAGGGAGTTGTCTTGGGTTTGGGCCTTTGGAGGGGTAGATGAGATACTGAAGCTTTGGCCCTTTGTTGCTCACCTAGTCAGTACCTGTGTTACTGTTGCTGCCTGTTCTCCATTCCTTGGTTACTGGACACGGTGCAGGGCTGGGAAGGTGGCTGGGGCGTGGCCAGGATGGTAGGGATAATGTTATCAGCTCCTAGGAGTCATCAGAGGGTGATGGAGGTCTACATTCTGTCTTCAGAAGATAACTCCTGCCCGCCCTGCAGATAAGCCTGGTCACTACGGAAATGGAGGCTGAGCTAACATTTGTTGGGTGCCTGCTGATTTGGAAACTGTGCAGGCCTTTCAGAAACATTTTACTATGAGGTAGATATTATCTATGCTTTTACAGATAAAAGAACTGAGGCTAAGAGGTTAAAAAATTTACTCTAGTCAGTGACTGAAGTCAGACATTTGGATAGGGCTGATGTAATTTTGTCAAAATGTTAAAAGATTACTTCCTTTTTTGAATTTTTAACTTTAATTGAAAACTTAAAAACCTATGATAAGATGATATGGTAAGAATGTCTCCTTGGTGACTGCCCGCCTGTTCCGCACATCTTGGTCGTTCCCTCTCCCTTGCTCACTGCACTTCAGTCTTACTGGCCTTCCTGTTCCCCAGACAGATCCAAACCTGTTCCCATGCACTGTCGGAGCGGAGGTTTCCTCTGTCTGTACAGCTGTCTCTTTCCTGTAATTTCAGCTCTCAGCCTAAATATTACCTACAGGAAGCTTTCCCTATCTACTATTTTATTTTTTTGTTTGAGACAGACACAGAGCTCTCATCTGCTGGCTCACTCTCCACCAAATGTTCTCCGTGGTCAGGGCTGGGCTGGGGTTGGAACCAGGGATTCAGTTCAGGTCTCCCATGTGGGTGGCAGGTACCCAACTACATCAGCACCTGTTGCCTCCCTAGGTCATGTTAGCAGGAAGCTGGAATAGGGAACAAAGCTGGGATTTGAACCTGGGGATATAAGGGATTTTGGGTGTCCCAAGTGGCATTCCAGCCACTACACCAAATTCCCAATCTAATTTTCTTTTTTTCCTGTACCCTACCCAAGTATACCACTACCATTTTTGGGAAATACCATTCCTTTGTCATAAGACAAGGATCTGTATACACACACACACGCACACACACACATAAATACACACACATCTATTTCTGGACTTAATAGTTTCTCTTTTCCAGCCACAGACAAATCTATGTAAATAGAAATCACAAGCAAGATATTAGAGTAAAATTTATTGGTCATTATAGCAAATATAAAATGGACTAAACTCACCAGTTAGAAAACAAAGATTGTTTTTTTTTTTTTTTATTTAAAGATTTTATTTGTGTATTTGAGTGGTAGAGTTACAGACAGTGAGAGGAAGAGACAGAGAGAAAGGTCATCCATCCGCTGGTTTACTCCCCAAATGGCCACCACAGCCGGAGCTGTGCCCATCAGAAGCCGGGAGCCAGGAGCTTCTTCCGGGTCTCCCACATGGGTGCAGGGGCCCAAATACTTGGGCCATCTTCTGCTGCCTTCCACAGCCATAGCAGAGAGCTGGATCAGAAGAGGAGCAGCCGGGACAAAACCGGTGCCCATATGGTATACCAGTGCCTCAGGCGGAGGATTAATGTACTGTGCCACAGAGCCAGACTGTTTATTGGTTTTTATTTTTTTTAAGATTTATTTTTATTTATTTGAAAGTCAGAGTTACACAGAAGGAGAGGCATAAAGAGAGAGAGAGAGAGAGAGAGGTCTTACATCTGCTGGTTCACTCCCCAAGTGACCGCAATGGCTGGAGCTGTACTGATCTGAAGCCAGGAGCCAGGAGCTTCTTCTAGGTCTCCCATGTGGGTGCAGGGGGCCAAGGACTTGGGCAATCTTTCGCTGTTGTCCCAGGCCATAGCAGAGAGCTGGACTGGAAGTGGAGCAGCCAGGTCTCGAATCAGTGCCCATATGGGATGCTGGCAATGCAGGCAATGGCTTTACCTGCTACGCCACAGCCCTGGCCCCCTTTATTGGGTTTTTAAGACCTAGCTTTGTGTTGTTTAAAAGAGACCTGCTTCAAACATAAGAACTCAGAAAACTTAAAAGTAAAAGATGGAAAATTCAGAGTCCCGCATTTCTGTGGGATTCAGTGGGGGTCTCAGCTTAACACCATGCTTTGCTGCTGGGTCCAGGGCCTCCCTGCCCCTGTCGCATAGTGGTTGTTTGAGCTCAAGCCCCTAGATTGCAGAGACTTATCTCCTAGGACGACTATGTCCTTTATTTCTGCTCCCGGGAATTTTCTTTATTATGGAGTCAGCCCTGTATTTTTTTTTATTTATTTATTTTTTTATTTATTTTTTTATTTTTTATTTTTTTGACAGGCAGAGTGGACAGTGAGAGAGAGAGAGACAGAGAGAAAGGTCTTCCTTTGCCGTTGGTTCACCCTCCAATGGCCGCCGCGGCCAGCGCGCTGCGGCCGGCGCACCGCGCTGATCCGATGGCAGGAGCCAGGAGCCAGGTGCTTTTCCTGGTCTCCCATGGGGTGCAGGGCCCAAGCACCTGGGCCATCCTCCACTGCACTCCCTGGCCACAGCAGAGGGCTGGCCTGGAAGAGGGGCAACCGGGACAGAATCCGGCGCCCCGACCGGGACTAGAACCCTGTGTGCCGGCGCCGCTAGGCGGAGGATTAGCCTAGTGAGCCGCGGCGCCGGCCCCTGTATTTTGTTTTTAAAGGTTTATCTTATTTTAAAAGTAGAGTGACGAGAGAGAGAGAGAGAGGTAGGTAGGTATCTTTCACCCACTGGTTCATTCCCCAGATGGCTGCAACAGCCAGGAGCCAGGAGCTTCTTCCGTTCTCCCATGTAGGTGGCAAGGTCCCAACTACTTGGGCCATCTTTCGCTCCTCCCTTCCCCTCCCCTCCCTTCCTTCTCCTCTCCTTCTTCTTCTTCTTTTTTTTTTTTTCTTTTTAGAAAGCTTTTATTTAATAAATACAAATTTTATAGGTACAGTTTTAGGAATATAGCGGTTCTTACCCCTATTCCCACCCTCCCAACCCCACTCTCATCCCACCTTCTACTTCCTTTCCCATCCCAGTCTTCATTAAGATTCATTTTTAATTATCTTTATGTACAGAAGACCTACTCTGTATTTCTACAGTTTGTACCCACACATAGAAAGTATAAAGTACTGTTTGAAGACTAGTTTTACCATTAATTCGCATAGTACAACAACACATTTTACAGTTAATTATCATAGTACAACTCATTGAGGACAGAGATCCTACATGGGGAGCAGGTGCAGTGACTCCTGTTGGTGGTTTAACAATTGACACCCTTATTTATGACGTCAGCGATCACCCGAGGCTCTTGTCATGAGCTGCCAAGGCTATGGAAGCCTCTTGAGTCCACAAACTCTTTCAGTATTTAGACAGGGCCATATGCAAAGTGAAAGTTCTCTCCTCCCTTCAGAGAAAGGTACCTCCTTCTTTGATGGCCTCTTCTTTCCACTGGGATCTCACTCACAGAGATCTTTCAGGTAGGCTATTTTTTGCCACAGTGTCTTGGCTTTCCATGCCTGAAATGCTTTTTTGGGCTTTTCTTTCGCTACTTTTCCAGGTGCATTAGCAGGGAGCTGAATTACAAGTGGAGCAGGCAGAACGCAAACTCGTAGCCGTATGGGATGCCGGCATTGCAGGCGGCAGCTTCATCTATTAGGCCAACAACGCCGGCTCTGAGCCATGTATTTAAAAGTAATTAGCAGGGCAGGCATTTGGTGCAGTGTTTAACCACATTGCACATCGGAGTGCCTGGGTTTGAGTCCTGGCTCTGTGCCCCAGTTTCCTGCTATTGTACACCTTGGCAACCAGCAGGGGATGGCTCAATTACTTTGATTCCCACCACTCACAGGGAAGACGTGGATTGAGTTCCTAGCTCCTGGCTTTGGCCTAGCCCAGCCCTGTTGTGGGCATTTAGGGAGATGGAAGATCTCTATCTCCCTGCCTTTCAAATAAGATTTAAAAAAAAAAAAAAAGTGACTTGTTTTATTTCAGCTAGCATTTTTTAGGCTTTAAGTGGTTGCTTTCCCTGTAGTTGTTTAATGTGTTGTGTGTTGTCTACACTGTTTTTCTCTTACAGGATTTTAAGAATCACTTCTTCTAAGGGGACCACTGAAAATGTATGGTGATTGCCTCTGGGCGGTGGGGTTATGGATCATTCTTATATCTTCATGCATTTTTCATGTTTTTGCCAAGGAGCACATATTTCTTAACTTTTAAAAAGGGAAATTGTTCTTCAGGTCCTCCAAGTAATAGCCGGTCTTTTCCATTTGTTGCAGGTGGTGCGGTTGTGTCAGAACCCAAAGCTGGCGCTAAAGAACAGCCCACCCTATATCTTAGACCTGCTGCCAGACACCTACCAGCATCTCCGGACTGTCTTGTCAAGATATGAGGGGAAGATGGAGACACTTGGAGAAAATGAGTATTTTAGGGTATTCATGGAAAATTTGATGAAGAAAACTAAGCAGACCATAAGCCTCTTCAAGGAGGGGAAGGAAAGAATGTATGAGGAGAATTCTCAACCTAGGTAATGGAGAAATACTACACAAATATTAATACAGGTCTGTGACTGCCTGAATGGGTAACACAAAGAAGTAGTTGATTTTAATTTTGCGTTAACAGGAATGGAAAGTTGATGTTTGAATTGAAGGTGTGTTTTGTATGACGGTTGCTGTGGAGGAATTCGGACCATCCTATGGTAGATTTGTTCACCTCTAAAATATCAGTGAATGACAGCCATGAAGACAGGTTGGAGGCAGTGGGTCGTTTGGAGATCCTCAGGATCGTGAAAGTTTGTGGGGAGGTGAGCATATGGAAGAAGGTTGGGGGAAGTAGTGAGAGGTCCGCTCTTGCCAGAAGTTGTAGCATGTTAGGTGAATTTAAGTATGAGGTAATGGGAGGAATAAGCCAGTGGTTTAGATAACTTTTTTTTTAAAGAAATAAATTGTTTTGTTTATAGGTAAAATTGAAATAAAATATCTTGTTTATAGGTAAAAGTAGCTTTTTACATAGACTAAGTAGAGGCAGAGGAGTTTGTTCAGTGCGTATTTGAGGGACCACTATGTATTCTGTTGTACTGATTAGATACTAAAAATGACAGTCACTACTGCTGGATGATGAGGTGACCTCAGTTCTTGTCTCACACTGAATCAAGGACAGGGACAGTGAGCAAAGTGAGATTTATTGAAAGTGAGAAATCTGCTGCAGCCATCAGGAGGAGGACTCCAAGGAAGGAGTTGCCAAGGAAGCTGGCAAGTTCTGGCTCTTTTATACACAAAGTGGCTCTCTCTGATTGGTCCCTTTCTGAGAAGTGAGTGCAGATTTAACAAATTAGGAGAGGAACAGAATACCAACCAATCAGGAGGCAGGGACAAGACCCAATCAGGAGCTGAAAATGTTTGCCAATGAGGCATGCTATCTAAACCAATTGGAGCTGAAACTGTATGCTAATGGGGCATGCTGCATGAACGAATCTGGACTGAAAATGTATGCTAATGAGGCATGCTGTGCAGACCAGTCAGGGAACTGATATTGGAGTAGCCTGTTTTGCACAGGAGAGTGCAGAGTGCTCAGTCAGATCTGCTCAGCAGACTCAACAACATCTGAAGTTTCATTGTGTAAGTTGTCATCCCTGTAATCCCCTTTCCGCTCTCTCATCTCCTGGCTCTCCCTCAGGGCTCCTGAAGAGTTCCATCATGTATTTTTTCTTGTATGTCTTTCTTTCTTTTCCTAGCACCCTTGGAGTCCCTATCACTATTACATGTTTTTAGCTTAGTTGTAAGTCACAGGGAGAGAAATAAGAAGTTTAACTGTGTGGATATACTTGGGTTTGTTTTTGTCCAGTTGGAAATAAATATTAACTCATTTAGAACAAGAAATAAAACAAATTCTGTTAGAGGTTGTTTAGTGATTAAATTGATTTTGAGGCGTGACTTTGAGGGGAAGTGATTTCTGAAGTGATCAGGTTCCTGTATGTATAGGACTCTTGGAGTAACCTAAGTGGTGTCCGTGTAGTCCACTCCTCCTTTGGCTTTATTGACTTAAATTCTGGCAACCCTAGTTTCTCACTTAAAATTTACCCATACCATCATTTGTATTATCTTCACTGCAACACATTGGTCAGTTTTAGTCCAGAATATGTCTTAAAAAGATTTGTAATGATTAAATTCAAACTGCAGAAACTTTTGTAACTTCTGATGTCTAAGAAAATGAACTTCATCCCTTTCAAATATTAAACTCAGGCCGGCATTGTGGCATAGTGTGTAAAGCCACCACCTGCGATGCCAGCATCCCATATGGGTGCTGGTTAGAGTCCTGGCAGCTTCACTTCCAATCTGGCTCTTTACTGGTGGCCTGGGAAGGCAGTGGAGGATGGCCAATGTGTTTGGGCCCCTGCAATGACATGGGAGACCTGGAAGAAGCTCCTGGCTCCTGGCTTCGGATTGGCTCAGCTTTAGCCTTTGCAGCCATTTGGCAAGTGAACCAGCAGATGGAAGACCTCTCACTCTCTCCCTCTCTTTCTGTAACCCTACCTTTCAAATAAATAAAATAAAATTTTTTAAATGAAACCTCATGGCTTTTGTTAAAATAAAACCTTGTGGGACAGGTGTGTGGTAAAGTGGTTGAGTTGTTAATTGGGGGTATCTGCATCCCGTTTTGGATTGCTTGGTTCGAGTCCGAGCTACTCTACTTCCAATCCAGCTTTCTGCTAATGCATACCCAGGGAGGCAGCAAATGATGCCTTGAGTCCTTGGGACCCTGCCATCCATGTAGGAGACCCAGATTGAATTCCAGCTTCGGGCTTCAGCCTGGCCATCCCTGGCACTGTGCGCACTTAGGATGTGAACTAGCAGATGGAAGGTCTCTGTGTGTGTCTTTACCTTTCAAATAAAATGAAATTAAATAAATAATTATAAAATAAATAAGTAAATAATTTTTAAAAACCTCTTGACTGTATAGACCTTTTAGCTAACTAGTCATTTTTGTATTGCTGAGTTTTAAAAAAAATCTTAATTCATTGATTACAAAAACTATTTATTTATTTACTTTAAAGATCCCTTTTACTGGGGATCCTTTCCATCCCAGACCTCAGCCCCTGTGGTTAGGTGGAAGGACCCCCTGACAGGAGAATGGAAGGGATGACCATACCCTCTGCTAACCAAGGGCCGAGGATACGCTTGTGTCTTTCCAGAGAATGCAGGACAGCCCATTTGTGTACCAGCTAGAAACATCAAGCCTGCAACTGACAGCCAACCAGAACCAGCTGAGCAAGACTGAGAGTCCGCCTTGTTAGCGGATGCGTCTGCCCTATCATCCTACCCTGAGAAACTGACCATAGCCACATCCGCTACTGCTTTATACCCCACTAGCTCTGATCAGCCACTCAAATGGCCCACAGCCCGTGTGCGGTCACTGCATTCCTGATAACCATTGTTCCTCATTCCTACCCCCATCTGAGCAAGCACTCCTGTGGTCTCCTGTTTTGAGCGCTGGTTAGTCAATGACAGGTAAGAGTCCCTGGGGGACAACCTAAGACAGGCACAGCTGCATACAGAGACCACATGGAAACGGGGTCAACAATGGTATGGCCAAGAATCATGCCTCCTGTTGCTCAAAAATAAACGAAAAGAGGGAAATGTGGAATGAGAAGGCCATGCCAAGATGGCCGCTGGCAAGCGAGTGTCAGTTACTCAGGAATGGCTTCAAAACCCACCTGGTAACGGAGCCTGCCTGGCAACAGGCTGTGATTGGTTAGGGCATAAACCACCCCTTGACCAGATTGGCTGCCTTGGCTATTTAAGCTGCTGTATCAACTGAAATAAACAAGTCTGTGGGCTGATTGCCTCTGGCCTGCTTTCACCCGACTCCCGGGGTCTGTGTGGTGACTCCGCGCCTCTTGCCCCCACCACACTTCTCCTCTCAGAACAAATCCACAGCAACACATTTTATCTCTTTTAAAGGCAGAGTTACAGAAAGAGAGAGGGAGATATAGAGAAAGAGGTCTTTCATCTGCTGGTTCACTCCCCAAATGGTCACAATGGTGGGGGCGGGGTCAGGCCAAAGCCAGGAGCCAGGAGCTCCTTCCAGCTCTCCCTTGTGGGTGTAGGAACCCAAACACCTGGACCACCCTCCACTGCCTTCCCAGGCACATTAGCCTGGAAGTGGTACAGCCAGGACTAGAACTGGCACCCATATGAGATAAATGCTGGCCCTAATTACCAAAAATTAAAAAAAAATATTTCCCATCTGCTATGGATTGGGTACTGTGTAATTTTAGGACATGGAAAAAGGGAGTTCAGCATTCAGATGGGGTGGGTAAGATAGCAGGTACCTTAATAGAGGTGTGTGCGACGTGCTGTGAGAACACGCACAGTGTCAGAGACTGACAGGAAGTGTTATTATAGGAACCGTGTTGGAAAGGAGAGGTAGGAATTTTCTGAGAAGTCAGAGGAGGCCTTTAATGCAACAGCCTGAAAATGTCAGCTCTGTGTCTTAGGACCAGGAGAAGTTTGGTTTGGCGTCGACCTGCAGGAGGTAGATAAGCTGGAAATACAGGTTGGAGTCAGATTATAAATGGCTGCTCTTTGACCTCTACACTTTCTCCTATAGATGAGAACAGAGAACAGGTTCTTTAGGAACATTTTTTTTTTTTTTAAGATTTATATATTTTAAAGGCAGAGTAATAGAGAAAGATCTTCCATTCACAATGGCCGGGACTGAATTAGGCTAAAGCCAAGAACCTGAACTCCATCCGGGTCTCCCACATAGGTGGCAGGGGCCCAAGTACTTGGGCAATTTTCCACTGCTTTCCCAGGTGTATTAGCAGGAAGCTGTATTGAAAAAGGAGCAGTTAGGACTCAAACCAGTGCGCATATGGGATGCCAGCATCTCATGCAGCAGCTTAACCTGCTGTGCCACAGCACTGGCTGAAAAGTATTTTTATACTGAAATAAAAAACTGTATCTTTTCTTGTCCTCTGAGATCATGCTAAAAATTGTTAATTAAAATTAAAAAAAATTTTTTTTTTTGTGGACTGGTAGTTCATCACAGAGAGACAATATAGTGTATTGGTTAAACATAGGTTCTAAATCAACTGCCAAGTTTGAACAATTTTTAAAAATTAATTCATTACTTTATTAGGAAGAGGGTTGCCATCTACTGGTTCATTCCCCAGAAGGCTGGGGCTGGACCACAGCTGAAGCCAGGACACGAGAACTCTGTCAGGACTCCCATCTGGGTGGCAGGAACCCAACTGCTAGAGTCACCACTGCTGCCTCCCAGGGTCTGCATTAGAAGGAAGCCGAGGGGCTGGCGCTGTGGCCTAGCTGGTAAAGCCACCACCTGCAGTGCCGTCATCCCATGTGGGCACTGTTCAAGTCCCGGCTGGTCCGGTTCCATTCACCTCTCTTCTGTGGCCTGCGAAAGCAGTGGAAAATGGCCCAAGTGCTTGGGTCCCTGCACCCATATGGGAGACTTGGAAGAAGCTCCAGGTTCCTGACTTTGGATCTGCCCAGCTCTGGCCGCTGC